ATTAATCAAATGGCTTGCTACATTATAATGTCTTAATGATTCAATTCCTAGTTACATAGTTGTCTAGGTTGAAAAAAGATTGAAATTCATCACGTTCAGTCACGAAGCTCATTCTTTTATGCTGTTTATCCAAAAGAAGGCAAAATCTTAAAGCGGCACTGTCATGCTGAATCCCATTTATTTTATTTTTTTAACCCCCCTCCCGCCTCCACTACATCCAATTGACCCACTAGTCACCCCCAAATGCCCCTAAGCCCCCCACATTACCTATTTTTTAATCCTTATTTTCTGCCCCGATCTATATCCAGGGCGCCGCCATCTTTGTGTGGGTAGATGAAGTCCCTGTGGGACACGTCATCAGCCTACACTAGACAGACTGTGAGATTCCCGCACATGCCCAGTGAAACACCTGGACATGCGAATGGGAATTTCATCTATTCATTCATTCATCAGACAGACGAATGAATGAATAGAAATATCAGCCGAACAAACAAACACAATGTATCAGTGTATCTGAGTATCAGTGTTTGTTTGTTCGTGCAGTTTATTACAAGGAGGGAGCTACCGGCGTGCAGCTCCCTCCTTGAAATATGTAACTATAGAAGCGGCAGGGAGCAGTGCTCCCCACCACTTCATAAGCCCCCCCAGGTCCCCCTCTCACTCTATGGGGGTCAATATGACCCCCATAATAGCACAAGGGGGATTAAAATCTCCCAAATGCCCCTACTCGCTATATCGCGAGTAGGGGCATGTCCACTAAACAGTGAGCAGCCTGTGGCTGCTCACTGTTGAAAAAAAATTACATTACAATAAGGGGGGGCGGACCTATTGTCCTCCCCCCCTCCCCCACCCTGAGCGGCGGGTGGGGGCCATGAAGATAATGGGGGGGGAACCTGTCCTCCCCTGGCCCCACCCTCGCATGACGGTGGGAGCTAATAAAACAATAAGGGGGACCTGCTGTCACTCCCGGGTTCCACCTGGTGATTGGGTGGGGGCCTTAAATAAGGCTATGGGTGGGGAACTTTGGCCCCCGGCCTCCTGCCGCGATTGGGTGGGGGCCCCTATCGCTAATAGGGGGACCTGCGTCCTCCCCCTGGCCCCCACCCCTGAGCGGTGGGTGGGGGCCCTAATAAAACAAGGAGGGAGGACCTACTGTCCTCCCCCCCTGGCCCCCACCCCTGAGCGGTGGGTGGGGGCCCTAAATAAAGATATGGGGGGAACTTCTGGCCCCCACCCCTGCGCGGTGGATGGGGGCCCTAATAAAACAATAAGGGTGGGGGACCTACTGTCCTCCCCCCCCTGGCCCCCACCCCTGCGTGGTGGGTGGGGGCCCTAATAAAACAATAAGGGGTGGGGGACCTACTGTCCTCCCCCCCCTGGCCCCCACCCCTGAGTGGTGGGTGGGCACCCTAAATGAAACACCCCCCCGCCCCCCAAATCGAGGTGACTAGGGGTCCCAAGCCCCTAGTCACCCCCCTCCCCACCCAAAAAAAAAACCTATCCCCCTACCTACCCCCCTCACCCTAAAAATAGTGAGGGGGGGAATAAAATAACTAACCTGTAAAAAAAAAAAATTAAACTTACCATTTGACATCTTCTTTTTTCTAAAATCTTCTTTCCTCAGCCCCCAAAAAGGCCAAATAAAAATCCATCATACCCGTCGCAAAAAAAGCGCAAAAAAAAATGATTCCATGTTCGCCCTTCGAGGGCACGCCGCACTGAGCTCCGCAGGGCGGGTCAAGGCCTATAAAGCCTTGCCCCGCCCTGCAATTAGGCTTAGAACACTCTGATTGGTGGGTTTAAGCCAATCAGAGTGCTCTGAGTCATTTTTACACAGCGTGGGAAAATTCAAAAGAACTTTCCCACGCTGTGTAAAATGACTCGGAGCACTCTGATTGGCTTAAACCCACCAATCAGTGTTCTAAGCCTAATTGCATGGCGGGGCAAGGCTTTATAAGCCTTGACCCGCCCTGCGGAGCACAGGAAGCGGCGTGCCCTCAAAGGGCGAACATGGATTAAATTTTTTTTGCGTTTTGTTTTATGCTTAATGGGTATTGGATTTTTATTTGGCCTTTTTGGGAGCTGAAGAAAGAAGATTTTAGAAAAAAGAAGATGTCAAATGGTAAGTTTAATTTTTTTTTTTTTACAGGTTAGTTATTTTATTCCCCCCTCACTATTTTTAGGGTGAGGGGGGTAGGTAGGGGATAGGTTTTTTTTGGGTGGGGGGGGTGACTAGGGGCTTGGGACCCCTAGTCACCTTGATTGGGGTGTTTCATTTAGGGCCCCCACCCACCGCTCAGGGGTGGGGGCCAGGGGGGGAGGACAGTAGGTCCCCCCCTTATTGTTTTACTGGGGCCCCCACCCACCGCTCAGGGGTGGGGACAGTAGGTTCCCCCCATCTTTATTTAGGGCCCCCATGGGCAGGGGGGGGGAGGTTATTAGTTTTGTTTTTTTTTTTTTTTTTACAGCAAGCAGCTATAAGCTGCTCACTGTTTACCAGACATGCCCCTACTCGCGATATAGCGAGTAGGGGCATATTATTTGCTAATACTAAGTAATTTTTACTTAGTATTAGTAAAGTTGGCTGTTAGACCAATTTAGGTCTTTCAGCCTTT